GAGCAATGTAGTTTGAAATTATTAATTATCTGTTCGTACGAAGGTGAGCATCATGTAATTAGTTTAGAAGAGGGCACCATCCTAGAGGATCTTTGCCGTGATCTATCGAAAAGATAGAATAAGGTGAGTATTGATGCTGTAAAATTCCAATATATTGCACCTATTCGAAAAAGCTACGTGACGTTATTGTATGACGATGATGTCGCCAATATGTGAAAAATGCATATCTTGTTAACGATAATGTTTGTGGATATGATTGGACGGTGTAGGAGCGAGCACCAGAGCGTGCCTCCCCGAAGCAGGGTTGGACGCAAGTACGTTACTCATCTTTTATAATTAAGTACTCTTTATTCATCTTTAATCAATTTTGTCATAGAATACAGTCACAATTGTGCCTTATGAAAGAATGCAACTTGTAAGCACTTATGTATTCATGTTCAACACATCTAAAAGCATGTTATTTATATACAAACTTTTAGTTGATATGATGCATATCCTTGAATTTTGATATGTAAGATTGGTAAGAAGCTACCTACCTTTTGTTTATCGGCTACGTTAGTAATAATTCTTTCATGATATTGGCATACAACAATACTGTGGTATTTTGCTGCGATGTTGTCTATAGGTAGTAAGTATTCGCCTCCGCGATTTTGTAGTAGCGCGATGCAGAACAAACCACTGAAGAGATTGTAAAGATATGTAGTGGGGATATAACATCTTGAAGGTATTTAAAGATGTTCACTCCTTCTTACAAGCCACTTTCAGTATCCTCTAGTAATCCGGTTTAGGTAGGTGTACCATGATCCATGCGTTGAAATTTCCGTAGCCCGTGGCATTTACTGCATCATGTAGCTTGCTACGGTGAATAGATGCAGTTGTTCCTTTAAGTACCCTGGATGACATGATAGGTAACCGTATACACCGTGGACATACTCGGTTGAGTAAGATGGGTACCCATGTTTTCTATTTACGAAGAAAAGATTTATTACCATATAGAATTAGAATTACTTATATCTGATAGAATTTTCATTCTTATTATTGTATTTGTAATGCAGGGGCGAGGCCAAATGTTCGGTATTAAACGAAGATGGCACATGTGGTATCTTTATTCCCGACAAAAGTACTAGTCTAATTTCAATGCAGAGATGCATTGTCGGGGAAGGTCAGACATTTAAGGGACCGCAGGAGTTTAGAAAGTTATTGAAGAATTATTCTATTGCCACTCAGAAACACTTCAAGTACCAAAAGAATGATTCGAGCAGAATTATTGTGGTGTGCATCGACAAAGGCTGTGGTTGGCGTATTTATGCACATTCCATGCTCGTGATGCATCATTTAGCATTCGTAACTGCAATTTACATCACACATGTACTTTGAGTCTATTGCAATCAAGAGATCATCCAACAGCCAATGCGAACTGAATTTCTGAAGTTTACAAAGATAAGATACGCTCTATGCTAGCGTATAAAGCATCCGACATCCGGGAGCATATCCAAATAGATTATGGGATTGATGTGAAATATCATAAAACATGGAGTGGCAAGGAGAATGAGATAAGGGCAATTAATAGTGGAGGTAGAGACAGTTTTTCACAACTTCCGTGGTACTATCATGCATTTCAAGAGTCAAATCCAAAAAATATTATAGACTGCGAAGTTGAGCGGGCAACCAAACATTTTCAGCGTCTTTTTGTTTGTTTAGGTTCATGCAGGCTGGGTTTTTTAAGGGATTGAAGACCCCTACTCTTTCTTGATGGGACACACATAAAAAACAAACACAAAAGGTGTCAGCTAAGTGCAATAGCAGTGGATTGGGATAATGGGATGTTTACTTTAGCATTTTCTGGTACGTAATTTGATATTACCTACGGTTGTCATTTTGTTAGAATATTGGGTATAGCTGTTCGTATGTGTTATTTTCCATGCGATCTCTTGTTTGTTAAATATTTACCTGCAATATTGTTTCGAATACCCTTAGAGCATTCCGGTATGCTTTCTTTAGGCACGTATGTACCATCATACGCTGGAAAAATTTATAGTTATTTGTGTTCTTATTTGTTGACTTGCAGCGGTGTTTACAGAAAATGATGAAAATTAGGAGTGGTTTTGCTCGAAGCTGCGAACTATTTTAGAATGTGAGGGCGTACGGATTGGAAACAGTACACATTCTTCTCGGATCGGCACTCGGGTTTACTAAAGTCAATCTCATGCGTCTTTCCCGGAGCACATCATGCGTACTGTCTCCGACACTTAGTGGACAACTTCCGTACCCAGGTATATGTACGTCAATATTAATTTGTAATGAATATCAATGGTTATGATCAGCCAAGAAATGTCTTTTTTTAGGTTATACGGAGATACCCAATGCATAATAAAAAACGATGGACCGTTGTCTTCAACAAGGCCCTATGCTCCGTTGAGGAGAGATTTAAAAAACCGCATTAGTTCTGTGGTCAAATCGATGCCATTGGCCCGAAACTTCATTACCCAATCACACCCAGAATGTTGGGCAAACTCACTATTCAGAGGCACTCGTTGGGGAATAATTAATAATAACATTTATGAGTCATGGAATAGTTGGGTGAGATCCGCGAGGTCAATGCCATTTGTTGGGATGTTGGATACCATTAGAAGGCAAGTGATGGTAATGATGAATGAACGCCGCGAAAAGTCGGAGGTAATGCATGGAGGCTCTGTCCGAAACGGGACAGCAAGTTGGCACTGTCGTACATGGCGTCTCGACGGCTATAGTGCAGCTCATCCTCTAAAACCGTATTCGAGGTAACAAATTGTAATAAAAGATACGCAGTCGATTTGAAGGCGCGAAAATGCTCGTGTGGAGAATGGAAAATGTTCAGATTGCCCTGCAAGCATGCTTGCGCTTGCATTGAAAAATACAATATGTCGATTCATGATTTTTGTGATCTTTACTATAGCATTGAATGCTACATAAAAACATACCAAGAACCAATAAATCCCGTACCAACATATGATATGGACGTGATTGTTGAAATTCAGGCGGACCGAATTCACCCTCCTCCATCGTCCGTCCAACCAAGCCGGCCAAAGAAGCGACGAGTCGAGTCCCAGCAGGTAAAAAATCCACAAGAATGTGGCCGTTGTGGGTTTCTCGGACATAATAGAAGAAGTTACAAGCAACGAGAAAATTAGCGAACATTTTTTTCATTGTATATCTTTTTGGCATCCAAAAGTATATATTAAGACAGTAGGTTTGTATTCAATAGGTATATTGTAATTGTTTTTCTGTGTCTCTAGGATATAACCGGTTGGAATCGCCGACTTATTTGCAGTAGTAAGTGGTATGTAGCCCTTTCACGCAGGTATATAATGAAGTTGTGAAGGTTCGTAGTTATATTTTGCAGGTATATTTTTCATGTACTGAGGCATTTGATGCTTTAGCTCTGTAGGGACGGATGGTTAATGTAATATCTAATTGTTTCCACGGTATTTATATTATATTTTTTGGTAATTACTTGGAGTTATAGTTGTTGATTAAATCTCATCGTTGTTGCTATGTGCAACCACTTCTTACACATTATAACCACGTACCCGAATTGGTCTGAGGCATGTATAAAATGGTTTGGCTTGTATTAAACTCGTCATACTAACCAACTGTATATGTCATACAACTTAAGTATTTGTTGATGACTTGTTTAACCATCAATTGTAAATACATGTTATTTCAAGTAAAAAAAAGATTGTTTCCTCAGCCACAAGTAACCAGGGCATATATAATCGCAACTGAAGTATAATGTCATGGTTGTTATAAGTACGCAGTAGCTTATAGAGGGTATATACATCAATGATTCCAATATATAAGGTTGCGGTCCGAGTACAAACTAGATCTCATGTTGTTTCTACGGTATTTAAATTGTATTACCGTATAATAACTTGGAGGTGTAGTATTGATTAAAATTCGGCACACAGCTAAGTACCAGACTTCCACGTGCCACACAACTATATTGTGGTTATATTATCATGTCTACTCTATTGTGTTTGAATTCAACTAACGGGTAAACGCTGTAAGTTTTATCATGTCTACCATGGTTAAGCCAATGCACTCTTAGTGTCATTTGGTGAATATTTCAAGAGAAAAGGCCGAGTCCCCACCCACAGGTTACCAGAGCATTTGAAATCGTAACGGAAATATAAAAGCTATTGTCGTAGGTACATAATAGATAATATAGGGTATTTGTATTTATGACTCCGTTATGTATGCATGTGAGCCGAGTACCGGACTCGCTGAATGAGGTACACAGAATGCGTACGCGGGTATTAGTGTTGTAGTTGTAGGTATAGGAGTAGACACCGCCTTAACCACGTGTTGTTTAGCACTCCGCAGGAAATAGTTGATTATAATATGGAGTTATAATTTTTTATTAGAAGTTGACACACACGCAGTTACCAGACACCCATGTCCCACACAAGTATTTTGTTGTTATATTATCATGTTGTTTTCATAGTGTTTGATTTTAATTAACGGTCAAACCATTGCAGTTTTACCGGTCGATTAAAATATGGCGTTCACTAGGGTTTCACGAGAAACGCCGACACGGTTGAATTGATTCAAAGTGAACGCTATTTCAGTGATCAGTGCAAAAAGAAAAAAAGCGGGTCCCACAAACGAATGTGATTGGAGCATGTAATATATAAATGAAAATACATACTAGTTTACTATAGGCACATGAAAGCTATAAATGGGTATCTACGTCTGTGTTATGAGTATTAAAAGGATGTGAGAGGAGCACTAGTCGCGACATAAATGGTATATGAAATTATTTTCGGGGCATCAACGATGTAGTTCCATGTATCATCGAATGTTTATTCCCTTTGATAATTAAACAAACCCATTTAGCAGATAATTCAATCCAATTTGAAGATATTAACCAATTCCATCACCCCGCAACACAACGTAAGAACTTTCCAAATCAATCTAAATTCATTACATATGTTAACTTACCCTGTTTTTTCCATTGGGGTCTACGAATCAGATGGAGGACCTTTCAATATCCTCGCCGCAATCGTGCCCCAGTAGCTATTCACATCGCCGAAGTCCTCGCCAAGGACGTCCACGAGATTGACATCCGGACCCGCCCGCGCATAACACTCTACGAACTTGCAGACTAAAGGTCCGGAGTCCAGCGTGTCACCCTGATGTCGACATTTAATGTATTCGGGCATGTCGCTCAGCATAGGCCATAGTTGTGCAGCGTTCATGTACAACGATAAAAATTGTGTCTGCACAAATAACGCTACTCTTTTGTTAAGGAATTCGGTCTACCCAAAGGCAATTAATTATAATTATTCCACAGACGTACAAATTTCTTTGCGTTCCCTTGGCCGAAGGGGTCGCCTAACGAATTACACTCCAGTACAACGTGATTGACGGTATCCAATATGCAGAGATGCCAGTGGAACCGGGTGTGTACCGGTAGAAATATATACCGGCACCCATATCGGATTTTGTCCATGATTCCAGCGATCTCCTGGCATATGGTCACTTGCATCGAGTTGAAAAAAAGCGAGCACATTACACCTATTGATGGTCGGCTGTTTCTCTACCCTGCTTGGTTGTGATAGCGATGGTTCACGGCCTTCTGAAAATCAAACAAAGCAATCAAAACAATAATAAAGTGTGATTTGTAATACTGAACGTAAAAATTCCAAATAGGATACTCACCGCTACAATCCATGGCACACAACAACACCACACCTGCAGATTGTGCTGGAGCTGGTATTCACTGCTGCATAAATGATATAGGTACGCGTCGATCACTTCGCCTTTCACAGTTTGGTCGAATAGTAGTTCTAGCACCGCATCAGACGAGACGAACACGACGCCCTGCTGCCATACATTGTCCCTACAAAATGATAGCCTCAAACGGATAAAAACATCAATTGAGAAAAATATATAAAGCCGTAATAGTGAATAGCAATACCAGACGGTGAATGACGCGAGAAATTGTTCAATAGTGTTCGTCTCATCCTCAGATAAGGTCCCCTTCCCACAGTAGCTGTCGTTATTGTGATATATCTCTCAATTTTTTACTTCATGGTCTGTTCCAACGGTAGCATCTGACTCCCCATCGTCGCCGAAAACAAAAAGTTCATGAACCAACAATGGAGATAATCATGTTTCCGTAGGCATCTGTATTTATTGTACAAGTATTAACTAAAAAACCCTGGGTATTTAAGAATCTGTCCGAAGTATTTTAAGCCAGACGACTGGTATTTGTATCAAACTACGTACCTGCTGATCTATGACGTTAGCCACTGACTTTCCTTTGGCCCTCCCAGTTTTTCTGGCTTTCTTAATTCGCGATGTTGATACGGGTGTCATAAATTCAGGCTTTTTCTTTCTCTTCCGATCCTTACGTGCCATTACAGCACGTATGATTGATGGATCTGAGGCCCTGCTACAAGTCTCACTGTCGGACTCATCGGCCGGCTATGATTTCAACAGAGCAAACAATCATTCAACAGATAAACAATTGCGACCTACAAAATGTACTTACTATATTAATTAACTTACCTTGACATCTGGAGGCGCAATTTACGGTAAATGACCATTAGTTGGTTAAATTCTTGTAGGCTACCAACCCCTTCATCATCCGACTCGTTTATAGGATCAATTTGGGCAAAAAAAGTGTCCATTTTGTTTTTGCTTCGTCGCTCGGTATTGATTCGCTCTTCCACTGTCTCGTTGAGGTTCTCATCAGCCTGACTCTCATTCTCCTCAGTTTGTTGCTCCTCCTCCTCACCCTGTTTCTCCTCCCCGTCGGCCTTCTTCTTTTCCTCCTCACCGTGCTTCTCTTCCTTCGAGTCCTTATCTGTCTGATCTTCCTCATCCTCCTGCAATTGTTTCTTCTTTGTCTCCACATCCATCCGGTCTGTTGTCTCCTCCCCATACTCTGCATCACCCTCATCTTCGCCATCACTCTCATCCTCGCACTCAGCTTCACTGTTCTCTTCGACAACACTAAATCTAGCTCTTTGCAGTTTACGAGTAAGTTTCGCAATTGCAACATCTTTTTTCCGTAGCTCCACCTTCAATACCGCAATTTTTTGAGCTGCTTCCTGCAGCATGTTTTAATAATGTCATATAAGAAATTATTTTATCCATTTACAATGGTAACAACATTGAATAATGCACTTACCTCCAAAGCATCGCAGATTGCACGAACAAACTTCTTTTCAGTGTCTATTCGATAAAAGTTCTGAATATCTGTTCATTTCAGGGATGATAATTCAGTCACTGCATGAACCCTGGAGATCGGACCAAGACTGTTCAGCCACCAAAAGAGCCGCGGTACCTTTGGTAGGCACCTTGCTTGTCCAAGGTTGGGACTCTTTCGTTGAACCAAGCCTGCACATAACAATAATCTCATTACTTCCAACAATAATAGTAACAGACATATTGTGCAATATACAAAAATAATTAGAAAAAATTAATAAATCCGATATTACATTTTTTACCAACAAACAGACTGTGCAGCCTGTCAAATATTTCTTTCCGGACTTAAAGTCGCTTATAGATTTTAAGAGATATCGGTGACTTGCAGGTCCTCATGCATAGTCACCAATCGCAGTCAAGTCATCCACATACAGTAACAAAAAAAAGGGTACATAATAATTTGCGAAACAAAATAAAATATTTGCAAAAACAAGAAAAATAAAAAGACGAGCAACATCCACAACCAATAAAGGCTCCAGCCCCTACAATAAAGCCTCACGCAACGTTTGCAACACCTTGCCAAGGGTGTCAGAACGCGGCTTGCCCCCAAAAATCCAAACAAACCATTCACTTTCGACTGATGTGTTGTATGTCACGTAGACTCCTTTTCACATGTAGTCCCAAGACTACAGAATATTCCTCAGCTTCAAACGGCAGCTCAATGTCAGTTCGGATTTTGAACGACCTCCGAACTAAAGTTATTAACGAAGGCAAGAAGGGCGGTGCCACAGAAACTTCATCTTCGGGCAGTCCAAAAAATATCCGAATGGAGTCATTTTGATAGCTTTGATGTGTTCGTCCAACATCTGTTGCTTGAGTTTCTCCACCTCGTTGTGGAAAAATGGTAATGCAAAGCGGCTAATTACCGATTTGTACTCCTTCCCCGGCCTGTAAGTAAATACCATCACTCCACATTATCCAAAATCTCCAATTTAGTTAAAAGTTTATCACAATTTATCAGGAGTACGTAAAAACACATTATGAGTATACAATAGTCCCCTACAGGTATATTACTTAGCAAATTAAACCAAACAAATGAAACTCCTGGTACCTAATAATACCGCATTTGGCAACCCACAAATATGATTAATTACCGAACAATCGAACAAAAAAACTAAAATATGCAACTTCGAGTAACTAAATAAAATATACATCTCCAAAATTAACAAAATCAAAGATAAAATATACAAAATCACCCAAAATCGGTGCCAAAATAAAACACCGAATCGGGTTTCCTGGCCAAAAATTCGAACAATTTCAAACCCGTTGAACAAACACAACACCGAACACCCAGGGCTCCTCATCACCGAACCGAGGCATACAAACACGGGACCAAGGCTTCTACCCCAAACAATCGAATAAACTACTGTATACAATTCGATTGTCAACAAAATAAAAAATCGAAAAGGACTTCGACCAAACACTTACTTCTTTGAACTCGTCTAGGGGATCGCGGCGGGTTGGCTGTTTTCCTCACCATTTTGATGAACGGATGCATTACTGCTTGATCATCGGGAGGTTCGCGAATGTCGATTTTTTTGAAGAACTAGGGCTTAGACGGGGAGTGAGGGAAATTATGGGAGGTTTCAACTCTTAAATCGTGTGTAGTTTTCTTTTTTTTTAAAAAAAAAAATCACAAAATAAGGTACGCGGTATTTAAATGGAAGTATCTAATCGTATAATGGGGGTAGAGCGGAAGGTAATATATGTATATACTATAAAATTGGAAGTATTTATTAAACAATCGCACGTTGCATATACAATGGCGATTGGGTAAAAAATATAAAAAGGGAGTTATAACATATCTAATAAAAAAAATAGGGACTGCAGTCCAATTAATTTACAATGGGGATTGAATTGCAACTACATTAAACTGACATGGATTTTAGTCCAACTTTCCCTTATTTTAATTCAAAATAGTACATTATTTTTTCATCTAAAAATATTCAAAATTCAAAATATTAAAATAACATAAAAAAGATAAAGAAACACTTCTATGGACGGATTGAACGAAGAAAAAAACAAGCTACCGCAGCTCCTCAACACACAAAATAAAAACATAAATTATCTGTTTACACAACACACACTCATTTGACACTATTCATTTTTCAAAAAAATATCACATCAAATACACTTTTTCTCTCACAAAACATCAAATCAAATACTAATTTTTTACTTTTTCTAAACTTCTAAATTTTAAAAAATCTCAAATAACCCCTATCTTTCAGCCGAATTCATGTCATGATAGTCTTTTCGCTAACTAATGAAAACCTATTTTTTGGTTCATTAGGTCTGACCCAACAATTTTATAAATATAAATTTAAAATTAAATTTTAAATAAATATATAATTATTTTTAATTAATAAATTTTATAATTAAAAATATGAATTTGATAGTGAATTTTAAATAAATATATTTTAATTACTTTTGATTTAAAATATTTCAATTAAAAATATCAAATGGAGCATAAGAATAACAGGGTTTATGATTCAAATAAAAAAAATATATATTTATTTCGTCGTTACAAATAAAGCTATTCATTTTTTTTATCGGTTTAAATAAAATATATATTATATCTTTTCCAATAAATATGAATTTACTATGTAGTTAAATTTATATATATTAGTAAATTTGTTCATCCAATATTTTTTTTTATGATATAAATATTACATAAATATAAAGTGAGACATAGTGAACAAACAATATGAGTGGTAATTGGTGAACGAAAAAAGACGTTCATCCCTCAATTTTTAGAATGAAGTGAGCAGGTAGGGACATGACTAAAGTCGGACTCTTAAGTACCAGAAATAAATATTTATTTAATTTAGGAAAGCAAGAATAGAGCAGTAAATTTTAATCTATTAAAAACAGTAATGTAGAGCAATAAAAAAATTTACCTACTTAAGCGAAAATCTGTTTTACCTAGAGATAAACTAACCTTTGGGATAGAATGTAAACTAATCCTATAATAAAACAATAAAATTAACTATTTAAAGTAGTAGACTATTATATAGAAAAGCATAAATTTATTCTAAAAAATTGTAAACCTATACTATTCAAGCGATAAGCTAATCGCCTGAGCGAGGGTTACTATTTATGGGAACTAATTATACTAAGGAAGTTATAAACTACCGCTTGAGCGAGAATGCTAACTATGAAAGCAGTATTTCTAACAACCAAACTAATTATCCTAACTATGAAAATGATAAGATAAACTAGCAACATTGTACTAAAATAGTAAAATTTATAAATACTTTCACATACGGGTTACTAAACCTACTTTCAGAAAATTAGAATACACCATCGTTGTTTGAGAGAGCCAGGGCTTGGCAACGTGATCCTAGGGTTGCGGCAATATCTTCCCAGGATTTCAAAGTTTGGCATCATCTTCCTAAGGGTTCCAGGTTTTGGCAACACCATCTTCCCGCGGTTCTAACCTACCGTCTGCTTGAAAAAGAAGATCTCAAGAACATATTTAAATTTTAGTTATGGCTGGAGATTTGTTAATTATCATATTCGCTTCTACTAATATTTGATTTAAGAATTATTTTCTTACATTTGGTATCAGAGCAGGTTTTTGCCTCTGTCTTGCTTTGAATTTTCTTCTCATCAAAGTCTTGATCAAGATTCGCTTTAATTTCTTATTTAGAAATATTTTGGTTTTTTTATTTTCAACAATTTCTTTGCGATATTTCTTGATCAAGATCCGATCCTGCGATTTGAGAAAATTTCATTCTGTTTTTTTAGGAAAATTGTAAATTTTATTTTGAAATTAATTTATGCAAAATATTAAATTTCTGATTTTTTCCTGTGTTGTGTTTTGATGGAGTGTTCAAATTCTTTTGTAATGTCTTTTGTGCACTTCATATCTGTGTTAACTTGTATGCGCAATTAATTACCTTGAAGAAACTTTTCCGTGTTGAATTATTGAGATATTTTATTAAATCCATTTATGTTTAATCGAAATTAAGTCGCCCATTAGTGGAACATATGTGACTATCCATATTTAATGCATACGTTCAATTGATTCTATGATCACGTCTTCGCATTACAAATTATACGCGCTGAGTGAATCTTATGCCTCGATGCCCGTGCGTTGGAATATATAAGAAGTGTATCTCGGTTCAAAAAAAAGAGAAAGAAGGGCACTTGTACTGATTCTGATTTATGCGTGGAATTCAATTATTATTATTTACAGGCATTGATATTTTGGATAGAATTTGAATTATGGATCCTGTGACATGCATTGTTTCTAAATGTTGCTTTATGCAATTATTTTATTTATTATTTTAATTGAAGCATGTTGCTGCACTAATCTGAGTTGATAATGCGTTTATTTTGCAATTGAAATTAGATGCATGTGAATTTTGTTGACACCAAGATAAATCGGGTGCTTATTTATTTATATATTTAATGTTTGCATATGTGTTTATTTGACTGCAATCGATTGCATTTGGTGGGCAATTGCGAACTAATTAACTATTATTTGTTTATTCTTATTGGAATAATTTATGGAATGGTCATACTCAATTAATTGATAACTTGTCATGCCATATTTATTATGTATTTTCACATATGAGTTTGTGAATATACGAATATTCATTATTATTTGTTTGATAGTCCAATTAATTTTGGGATTCATTAGCATGTATATATACATATATATTTTACAGTATGCATTTGTGTAAATTCGACTATAATTATTTAGCATATCAAATTTATAGTCTCTTTGGGTGGCGTATTTTTGTCTGTGTAATTCCGCTGCATTTAGTATTGTTTGGACATACATATTTTCTATAAGGGGAATTTAATTAGCAACAAATAATAATATAATATATTTTTTGAATTGGTTGAAATAGTAATATTGCCAAAGCAGCCTCTGCTACATAGATCGGTTTGTTTTATATGTTAGAAGGTTGTGTATGTAATTTATAAGGCTGTTGATTGACCCAAAAGAAAATCAGCGATTAAGTAGTTACATGCATGTTTAATGATATTGAATTGGTGATGATAATTTGGTTACTTGTGTGTGAACAATAGATTTGTCCAAAGATGGAGTATTGTTCGACATTCTACTTTATTGTCTACTTTTGATTGTCAAAACAAATTTATCACTGACGAGTCAGTAATTTATCCAAAGACAATTGCTGATGTTGCTCGATAACTTGTAATAAGATTGCTAATTTATTTTATAAATTCACATACGGAGGACTTTAGCTTATAGACATGTGTAATCCATATTATGTTCATGATGTTTGTGATTTATTTTAAATTTTATTTAATTGGGGAATAGCCACAGCATCATCGATTAATTAAACATTTATTCATGATTTATTTGAAATCACATTAATAGACATCGATTGTAATTATCATGTACAATGTGATGAGATCTACCCACATGAGTCTTGTTATATTTATATGAGTAATTAGGATAAAATATCAAATTGTATTTCTTAATCTACCCACAGAGAAAAGGAACACAATTTGAGTTTTATTGTTAGGTTTTGTTTAAATCTAATTAAGTAAAACTTTAGCCCACATGCAAGTCTTATGTCTTTAGATTCATGTCTTAACATGTTTACATTGGTAAAACATGTAATTTACTTGTCTCTTTTATTGATAAGCATGTATATTTAATTTTAGAACATTTAATCCTATGAATTTCTCTGACATTAAGTGTGATGTCCCTGAATTGACTGGTGATAATTACAAAATCTGGAAGGAAATGATCCTCCTTTATTTAGGCTAGATGGACATTGATTATGCCAGTCATTCGGTTCTCCACCATGAGATTCACGGGTGTAAGGGGTATGCGCGAGCACATAATGCGGATGCGGGACATTATCCTACAACACACATAAAAATAAATGGTCCATCAATGAATTGATGAGCTTGTGTGTTCAAG